CCCATGACGGGTTTGCTGGAGAGCCATATGAGCAATGGGATTAATAGGGAGATTCCGCAGAATTATTATGAGCGGTTTGAACAGGCGTTTGTGGAGGAGGCAAGGCAGTTTACGGATGCGGTGCTTGAGGGGGGTGAGGTGCCGGTGGATTTGCAGAGTAGCATGGAGGCGGTTAAGATTGGGGTTGCGTTGCAGGATAGTTTGAGGAGTGGGAGGAAGATCTTTTTCGATGAGAAGGGGGAGAGGGTGGAGGAGGCGAGGGCGAAGTTGTAGGCGGTCCTGATGGCCTGGTGGGTTGCAAGGAGCCCTGGGCAGGTGGGTGGATGTAGTTTAGATTCAAAAGTATGTTCGTTGTAACTTACAATGGTGTGATAGTTCATGGCCTGTCACCATGTCACAGCATAAAAGACGCAAGCAATGAAAATCGAGCAAGATAGTGGTGAGGTGGGTACAATGTCTTCTGATATTGGTGTGGCCTATCCTTGCTCCGACCAGATCCTTCTCGAGGGTCATATCATACGACGTCTATCTACCATCCATCCATCCATCCATCCCAGATCATACCATCAATCATACCGTGTCGTTACATGAAAGCGTGTACCCGACCCAACCCAACACCCAGAACCCAGCCCACCTCTTCCATCCACCAGCACCTATCGCACAGGCATGTTCTCGACATTCTCAAAAGCAAAGCTCGGGTACCCCGGCTCAGCAGTAGCAGCCTGCGGCGGAAGCTCCGACCGAGTCTCGCCCTTGCTACCATCTTCCTTGATGACAGTACCATCCTTGCCACCTTCACCAACAGTGACGATCTCCACATCAACGCACTTCTGAACAGTCTGCTTCAATCCAGGTACCATAGCGCGCAGCGTGTCCAGCTCATCGAACGCGAGTTCGCGGTTGAGGACGACATCCTTGGGCTCGCCGTTATCGAGGCGGCGCTTAAGACCGTTGATGAAGGGCATGGCTTTCTTGGACTCGGACTTGTCGATGGATTTGCTGATGGCTTTGATGTCGAGGGTGTCGGCGTCGCGGACCATATCGATGTACTTTTTCTGCCAAGCGGGCCATTCCTTCGCAGCGAAGATGATGATCTTCTTCTCTTTCTTGGGGTCGAAAGTAGCGGCTTTGCCCTTGGACAGCTTCTTGATGGCGTTGCCCTCTGCTGACGTGATGTTCGTCTGTGTTTGGCGGACGAATTCTCGGGCGGCTGTGAGCGAAGCGTTGGGCTCGGGAACCTTGGGCCATAGGGCTTTCTGGACGGTTTCCTTGTTCTTGAGTACCTCGAGCCAGATGTATTCTGACCAGTGGGGTGCGATGGGGGTAAGGAGGAGGGCTTGGAGCTCGACGAATTTCTTGACGAGGTCTTGGTGCATGCCGATGCCGGCTGCCTTGGTAGCCTCACGGTAGAAGTCGCGCGCGCTGGTGAAGTCGTAGAATCCAGACTTGAGGGCGAGCTTGTAAAATGTGTTGGAGTAGTGTCCGAAAGCCTCGTGGATCAAGACGTTCATCTCGTTATCGAACATCTTGTCGAAAAGAAGATGCTCGCTGCCGCTCTGTCGCTGGATGACGTCTGGGTTCTTGACTGATCCCGATGTCCTCTTCTCCATGTATGCGGCCGCATCGGGAACGTAGATGGCCTCGTTCATCAAGTCCTCGCACCACTTGCGGAGCTCAAACAACTTCAGGATGTTGGCGTTCGCGACCGTCTCTTCAAAGTTGGCGTCTGTGATCTCGTCTCCTGCGTCGGCAAGGGCGATACGTGTGGCGTCGGCACCAAACTTCTCGACAGCACCAGCGATGGTCAGGAAGTTACCGGTAGACTTGCTCATCTTGTCGCCGTTCAGTAGCAAGTGACCGTTGACACGGAAGCTGCGCGGCCAGTTCTCCTTCTGGAAGATGGCGGTATGTACGTAGAGGTTGAATGTCAGATGGTTCTGAATCAGATCCTTACCACTGGTGCGCATGTCGAGCGGGTACCAGTAGTCGAAGTGTCGTCGCATAGTTTGTAGGGTCTTTGTGGGAATGTCGGACTGCGGGACGTCGGATCGGTCACGAAGAGCAAATACGTAATCCCAAGCTTCGTCGGTGAGCTGATCGGGCTTAACGCCAAGAGGGCCGGGCTCCTTTCCAAACATATCCTTGTGTAGAAGATGAGCGAAAGAGTAGTAGGCCTGGTAGATTGTGCTGTCGGACAAACTCTCAACCATCACGCTTGGATCCCAGGGTACCTTGGTTCCGAGGCCGTAGGAGCGGGCACACGCCCAGATGCTGAGCCAGTCGACAACCCGAAGGAATTGGTTCTTCGCCTCAGGGTAGTAGAGGTTGAGTTCGCCCTCAATGTGTGAGCGGACCTTCTCAGCCCATTCACCGTCTCCGCCATTCGCTGCAGTGCCGTAGTTCATGTACCATTGGTCGAGAAGAGCTGCAACACAATCGTCACCACTTCGGCTCATGACCTTGCCGTCGGGTTCAGCGTACGGGAAGGCGTCACCGGCCTCGATGAGCTGCTTGCGAACGAGCGGCTTCGCTTCTTCGACAGTCTTTCCGCTAAAGTCGCCGTGTACCATCTTGCCCTTGTAGAATCCCTCCTTGTAAGCCTTCTCCTTGGCATCGGCAAGCTTTGCAGAGTCCTTGGGTGACTGAATCTTCATCTCCTCTACAAGGCGTTTCGCTGTGAGGTTACCGTATGAGGGAGTTTCAATGATAGGCAAGAGATCGTCAAACTTGACCCATTCCTTTTGGATACCGTAGTACTCAGCCTTCTTGGCAAGATCAAACGAGGTGATGTAGTCATCTGGTGAGTCTGATGGAACACATGTGACGACGGCCGTACCCTTGGTGTCCTTGACGGTCTCCATAGGAAGGATGTAGACGTCCTTGTGAACAGAGAGAGGAGCGTTGACGACAGTACCGACGACATCCTTACCGGGGAAGGTAGCAACGATGGAGTATTCGCCCCACTTGGCAGTGGTGCCTTGGTATGCCATGTTCCTTGCGGCTCTCTCGCTGAGGACGTAGTATTCGGTGTCGGTGATCTTGACTAGGGAGTAGTTGATCGCAGGTCCTACGAAACATGAGGTCTGGCCGTACATGGTTTCTGGGCGGAGCGTGGCTGGAACGAAGTAGCAAGAAGCGCCTTCGGGGACGGCACCAGCATGAGCCTTTGCGGAATCTGCCCACTTGACAACCTTCATCTTGAGCGCGGTGTACTCCTGGACGGTAACACCTTCTCCGGACTGCCTGTCGTGGTCCATGCATGCTTGGCCATCCTTCGGGCTGTAGACAGTGTAACGCTTTGCGAAGATGATCTTTCCCAAGGCTTTCAGCTTGCGCATCTGCCAAGCAACGAAGTTGTCGTAGTACGGGTTCGCATCGGTGGTGACGAACTGACGTCTCCAGTCTATCCTGGCTCCGAATGCTGTGAGGTCCTTCTTGGCTAGTGGAGGGAAGAACTCGATCCAGTGGTAAGGGTCAGAGAACTTGTGGATCTCCTCAAGGGGAATGCCCTGGGCGAGCATGATTTGGAACTGGTACTTTGTCTTGACGGTCTTAGCGTTGGCCTTGCCTTTCGTAGCCTTGAACTTGGTGATGTCGGTCTTAGTCTCGGCCTGTGTTGGCGCTGGCGGCTCTGGTACTGAAGTCTCAACAACATCTTCGACGGGGCAGCGTTCGAAGTTCTGTCCGAACATCTCGACCTCTCGGACCAATTTGTCTGCGCACGCCTTGATTGGCATACCAGTCACATGGTAACCCAATGGGAAGAGAGCGCGAGCACCGGTCATCCTTCTGAATCCAGCGGTGAACTCGACCTTACTAGCGGTGAAACCATGTCCAGCGTGAAGGGTGCCGTTCATGTATGGGTATGCAAAGCAACCGAACCATTTGGGGTACTTCTCGTGAAGTTCATCCGGTGTGGTGGTGTCAAAGGGTTCATCTTCAAGAGATGGGGCGTCGGGGTTGAAGACTCCCTGCTCTTCCCATGACTTCTGGTACTTTTTCTCCTCGGCGATCAATGTGTCGCGCTTTTCGGTGTTCTCAATCTTGAGTGTCTTTGACTCAGCCTCTTGCGGCTTGAGCTGCTCTAATGTTGCGGCGACAGCGCTCTTTGGCGCGTCGCTGAGTTTTGTGGCCTCCGCCATCACGACAATTCCAGAAAAGTGAAGAACGGTCGTAAAAAGAAGTGGTAAAGAGCGCGAGAACAAAAGTGTGGTGTTGTGGAGGGGTGGTGGGAGGAGGGTGGCCAGTGCGTGCGGACGGGGTTAGTCACACTTTTTTTCGGTTCGCGCGAATTGTGGGGCGGTCTAGTCGGTGCCTTAACTGTACAGAACGTCAGTCGAGTATCCTCAGGAACAACACCGCGAATCCACAAGTCAATCGAACACCCCTGTCGCCGTCGTCGAACCGACAAAGCCAGCGATTATGCTGCGCCTCATCAACCGCCTCCTCGGCCGCCACGAGAACACACTCCCACCGTTCGACTTCGCGCGCAACAAGTACCCAGCCAAGAAGAAATGGCCGCCGAACCTGCGCGCCCTGACGGAGAAGCAGCAGTTCCGGTTCGAGCGCAAGTTCAAGCGACGCATCAAGGCGAAGTCGATACGGCCAGAATGGAACAAGTGGACCAAGGTGGTGCAGTGGAGCATGATCAGTTTCATCGTCGTCTACGGTGTCTTGTTCCACGACTTCCGCAAGGACCCGATGAACCCAAGGCCGGGCGAGCAGCCGTTTGAGGGATTGAGGAAGAGGATGTGGGGGATGTTTGGGGGGTTCTACACACATACGAGCGAGGAGGCTAGGTCTCCCATAGCGGTGGGAGAAAGTCCAGAACGGAAAGGTAGTCGCGACTAGCCGCCGCGCTGTAGTGAAGATGATTAGCATGCGGAATTGAAGAAGAAGAATTGATACAATGGCTTGACCTGCGAAGGATCTATCAAGCGAAGTGTGGAAAGGGAGATGGAGCAAGTGACTTGGGATCTCTTGGAACGGGATGAAATCACCTACCTCCAGACGGGTGGATACTTGGGGGCATATCTCATCCCCCTCGGTGGCCGTGGTAAGACCGCCGGTCTCGGTCCGCGCGACTTGCCAAAGTTAGTCAGTTTGCTAAATGGTCTTCAGTAACAAAGGACACTTACGTCCCACACCCTGTGGTGTTCGGCCCAGAGGGGCTTGACGAAGCACCAGCGCTGGCGGCCGTCCACCTTATCACACGTTTTGATTACGGACTCCGAGAAGTCCAAATAAACGTGGGCGGTGGCCCAGTGCCGGTGCACGCCCGTGGTGCCGTACACAAACCTCAGCTCCACGGTGAAATGAGGCTCCGACTCCTGGTGCCAGCCTTCTCTGACGTACACCTGGGTTCCCGTCGCCCCTTGGGGGAGACGGGCCTCATCCCACCGTCCGAAGGCGAACTGGTCGACGACGGAGGTTCGGTCCCAACGATTGGCCAGATCGTTGTGGATCCCCACCTGGACCTTGGGGTCGATGCCGTCCCGGAAAACAATTCCATAGGCGAACTCCCTGTACCGTTGATCAGTATGTATACTTCAGGCTCATACTTGACATTAGATGCAGTAGCTGCTCTCATGTCTGAGGTCTCCTGGCTCCAACTTTGAATGAAGCCCTATCTTCTGTTGAGTCGATGTCTGTCTCTGGATGTAGTGTCGCTGGTTTGAGAGGTAGACCTGTGTCATGTGGTATGATTCGGGAGTCGACTTTGAAATCCTTCCGATCTAGCTCCAGCTCGCAACAACCTATTCATCAGTCTCAAGCTCTTCAGGTTGTAGAGCAAAACTTACAATTTCTTCTTCCTCCATCCGCTTCCAAACATACCAAATCAGTTGAGCTTCAAATCCACCTCTTCCTTGCCCTTCATAGCTTTCCAGCCCCCTCTTTCACCTCTAGTGTCGAGCTCATTCCATCCAACCACACACTTACCCTCCATACCCCCCTTCCCCCAAAACACGCACGCACGCAAGCAACGCCCAAAAACAAAACACCAAAAGACCAAAGAAAGACATATCACATACCTCTGCCAATCCGCCCTCCCCCACGCTGCAGGCAGCGTGGCCGCGTCCAGAAAACGCGGACCGGGCGCAGACACTGGTGGTGGTGGCAGCGGCGGCGGGCCCCCTGGGAGGACGAGCGGGAGGACGAACGGGTTGGCCCCAGGGTTCGCCATGGTGGCAGCAGCAACACCGACAAGTGAGCGAGGAGACGACGGTGCCGGCGGCAGCGAGCCAGGGAGTACGCAAAGCAAGAGCGAGGAGACGACAGCGGCAGCAACAGCGGCACGGAAATGGTGGTGGGTGGGCGTGGAGGAGACGGTGCTGGCTGTTGTTGCTGGAGAGGAGAGGAAAGTCACGCTGGGGAGGCTATCATAACATGGCAAGGGAAGGCAAATTTTCACGGTGACGGTGAAAATCATAACAAGAGCGTTTGCAAGACGCGCGCGTTTCCATGGTGAAGGGAGATGGGATGGTGCGGGGGAGGAGCAATCTGTCGAAGTGCGCGTGGGAGCGAAATAGCGCAACGCCAGCACTGTGGTATGCGCCTGGCAACACTGGAGCGTGGCAGGTTAGAGGGTATGAAGGGCTTTGTAGACGCCAGGATAGGATATGTTTCTTAGTATCACGGAGCTCAGCGTGGTTGTCGGCTTCTGGATCAGGTCTGGTGATGTCGTAGATTCAAAGTGAAATAGATGTAGTACTCAATAACCATCATGTTGAGAAGTGACCTACAAGGTGTATACAACATATGTGGAACGATATGAACAAAGTCTATCCGTCGTCGTATCAATCAGCAGCGCGAACATACTTCGTTTCTCAAATCTACATCACATCACCCAAACCGACAAGTACACCAGATTAAAGATTCGACAAATTCATATATACTCAATGCAGTATCTCTACCCACATTCCGCTCGGTGAACATGGCCATAGAAGCAGTCCATCCACCATCCCAAACACATACACATGCTAAACCATCTTGCTTACACATCGATCAAGTTGTCATCCTGCTGGCCCTCGCCCGAGTTGTCCTTGGTATCCTTGCTGCCCTTCTTCTTGTCACCGTCGTCACCGCCCCGACTCCTCTGGTAGTATTGGTCGAGCACCTTGGCTGGGATACGGTTGAGGAGTTCCTTGGGGTAGATACGGAGCAGCGACCATGCGAGGTCGAGAGATTCGTGAATGGAGCGCGACTCGTAGGCACCCTGGGCGATGAAGGAGCGCTCGAACTTCTCGAGGAACTCAAGCGATAGCTTGTCTTCTGAGGACAGGGCCTCTTCTCCGACGACGGCCTTCATGGCAGCGGCGTCACGACCAATGGCGTACTTGGCGTAGAGCTGGTTGGAGACATCACCATGGTCCTTCCGTGTGCGGCCCTCACCGATGGCAGACTTCATGAGACGGGAGAGGGATGGCAGGACGTTGATCGGAGGGTAGATACCCTTGTTGTCGAGTTGACGGTCAATGAAGATCTGACCCTCAGTAATGTAACCGGTCAAATCGGGGATGGGATGTGTGATATCTGGCGCAATTAGCTTAGCACGGAGTAACAGAAGTCGCAGTACTTACCGTCGTTAGGCATAGTCAGAATGGGAATCTGAGTGATAGATCCGTTACGGCCCTCAACACGTCCAGCACGCTCGTAGATAGTCGACAAATCCGTGTACATGTAACCGGGGTAACCACGACGACCGGGCACTTCTTCTCGGGCAGCGGAGACCTCACGTAGCGCATCGCAGTAGGATGACAAGTCGGTAAGAATGACCAGGACGTGCTTCTCGAGCTGGTAGGCGTAGTATTCGGCGGTTGTAAGGGCAAGACGGGGAGTAATGATACGCTCGATGCTACGCTGGGTTAGCTAGGATAGCAGTAGCGCATGCATGTTCTACTTACGTAGGGTCGTTTGCCAAGTTGAGGAACAGAGTGACACGCTCCATACTGCCGTTCTCTTCGAAGTCGCGCGTGAAGAAGCGACTGGTCTCCAAGTTGACACCCATAGCACCGAAGACAATGGAGAAGTTGTCGTCGTGGTCGTCGTGTACACCCTTGGAGGGCTTTCCGACAAGACCAGCCTGTCTGCAAATCTGCGCGGCGATTTCGTTGTGGGGGAGACCGGATGAGGAGAAGATGGGAATCTTCTGTCCACGGGCGATCGAGTTCATCGTGTCGATGGCGGAGATACCGGTGGAGATCATTTCTTCGGGGTAGACCTACACATTGTCAGTCGCATGAATGAGAGATATTAATTAGGTACGTACTCGCGAGTATGGGTTGATGGGGCTACCGTTGATATCAAGGTAGTCCTCGGCGAGTACCTTGGGGCCCTTGTCGATAGGCTTTCCTGAACCGTCGAAGATACGGCCCAACATGTCCTCGGACACACCGAGCTTCAAGCTGTGTCCGGTGAACTCGACTTTGGTCTGCGACTGTTAGATATAGTTCCCTTGCAGAGGACTGGGTGCAAGTACCTTCTTAACATCGATACCAGATGTGCCTTCGAAGACCTGCGTCGCAATTAGATCGAGTTTCCGGGAGAGTTGAGCATGTCGCAATTTACCTGAACGACGGCGCGGTTGCCTGCAGCTTGTGTCAGTTTCTCGGCGCACAATCAGGGTCGGAGTAGCTTACCGCGAGCTTCAAGGACCTGACCAGAGCGCTCGGTGCCATCGGGCAGAGTCAAGGACACAATCTCGTTGTATCGCGGGAATTTGACCTATCCACCACATGTATAAGCTTCTTGTCACTCCGTCTCATGGGCCCAAGCTACGCACATTGTCGAGGATGACCAATGGACCGTTGACGCCTCCAATAGTGTTGTATCGTATCCTAGGCGTCACCGAGATCATGCGGGGGTCGACGACTTCAGGCATCGTGGCGGTAGTGGGCGGTTCGAAGAGGTGTAGTATTGCTCGGCGTTAGATCGAGGGCCGCGGTCGGTCTGTAGCCTCGGAGATCGTTGGGTGACGAAGTTAGAGGTCGGCCGTCCAAGTGGGTTGGGGAAGCTCTGACCAGGATGCTTTAGCGTCTATGCGACAGATGACGCTGGCTGGAGGCTCGGCCTTGGCGCCTCACCATCGCGACAGACGGCCTCGATTTCGCATGAATCGAACATGAGTTGCAGTCTGGGCTTGTTTCCATACTGCGCGACGGGACAAGTCTTCATGTCAAGGCAAGTACCAAGAAGACAATATCCTGGGGTTAGGCGGAGCTCAGCAGCTATGAACAGAGTGTAAGAGATTCACGGAAGAACATGGAATTGTAATTTTCGCAACTCATGGTATTCATATGTTACATATCGTGACAACTATCTGGACCTAGACGTGCCACCATTTCCAGCAGGGTCGCCGACCAAAGGGCCTAACCAGGTGCTCGACTTCCCAGCAAAACGAACATCGCGCATCTGTTTGAACTTGTCAGTAATTGCAAAGCGAAATCTCAGCAATAACAGAACATAGTATGTGAGGGGTCAGACATCCAAGGAAGGTATTCGCGCTCATTGTCCATCGGTCTTAGGTTCGATTGATGGCTAGCGTGGAAACTGCGAATGTGGAAATGTTTCATCATCCCCAAAGGGAGGAAGAGTGTGAGGAAAAGAGCGACTGACCTTTGATCATACGAGGCACGCCATGTAGCTGGTGTTAGCAGTCAAGCAACGCGCGTACGTATGCATGCCCATGACGTTGCGCAGCAAGACTGTTTGAGTCTGCATTACGCGCACGTGTAGCAGTGCAGTCCTCACAGGACTAGTATAGTGTTGTGGAAATCTCGATCTGTTGCAAGTGCGCACGGGGCGACAGACTGCAAAAAGGTGCGCGGCGATGAGAGTAAGCGAGTATTACTGTACTGGGCGATATTAGCAATCTGACTTGCAAAATTTGCCAAAACATTCGCGATAGTGATGGAGGTCAGACGACAGTACTGGCAAGTAGCAGGCGCCCGGCGAAGGGCACCCGAACAGCGCTGTTTTCTTCAAGGTCGAATCGGTAAGGAAAAGAAGTTGCTGAAGGTATAATCTTTCCACAGAAGCAAAGAAAAAAGGAGTCGACTTACGTTATAGGGAGGGCTGGCTTCGGGCCTTCACGAAATCGCATGGAGCGGTCCGAAGCCAGTGGTTGTTCGCAGTCTTCAAGACATGCAGAGTGAGGTGGTTGTCGAGAGAAAACCAGAGACGCGGTCGAAGAAAAGTAGAGCGCCGAGCTAGCGCGCCGCCAAGATTTCTCTCATCACGTGCCCGCCCGAACGGGCAAGGGCATTATTTGGAATCGTCATCCGGCCAGCAAGCATCAGCAAGGCAGGTCAGCGTGGTCGCAAGAGACTGCAGAGAGCGCCCGCCCGAGTGCAGCATAATTCATCTCCCGTCGAGCGCGTTGTCCTTGTGCTGCGCAGTGCATATTGAGCGTGAGTTGGAGTCAGGATAGATTGGGCAGCCCAGCCACGCAGCTTTTCGCGCGATACCGAAACGGCCCCCTAACCTGCGCTGATCTTCGGAGAGGGCCATGCGCCCATCACCTCTCACCACACGAGAACTCCACCACTGACGCCCGCGTCCCTGGCACCGTCCCTGGCCCTGGATCTATACTCGCACCGGACCCATCGTCGCATAGCACGGCATCTCTAGACACGTTCGCCGCACTGCCTCTGCTGCCCCCCAGACGGCCCATCTCACGTTCCCACTCCACCGCTCT